TGACAGCTGCAGAATCAACGAAATCTTCGAAAGTGGGAAACAATACTAGCCCATAGATGAGGAGAGCCAATACATTCACCAAAGCATCCCATTGTTTGTTCTTTAACATCTTAATTGCTTCTTTCTCTAGTAAAATGCTTCTAAAGCCAAAGAAATCTTCTCTTTTCTTCCAACCAGCTTTGGCTATTGAAATCGATATTTTGAGAGCATCGGCCAATTCTTCCACTTCTGGAGTCTGCCCTATCATAGTATAAGGTGCCCTACCCTTGACCGGGAAACCTAGGAACCCCTCAAACTCTTCAATAGCAGGTGTTAAGTAGAAATCTTGAAATAGGAAGCTTCTCATTTGCGGATCATAAAATTGTGCCAAAGCCGTAATAGCAGGGACCTGTACTTCAATCATCAGCAGATCGGTCACCTGGCCAAACCTTCCTATCAGAGTCTTCTTGAAAATGGTAGGAATTTCTTTCAAACAGTTCATGACCACACTAACATCAGGTTTGAGTGCCTTAAGCTGAATACTCTTTCTCTTTTCTGAACTTGCGGCCATTTTCTGAATGTATTTCAACCTGTCAATATAAATGCTTCCCTGAAAATAAAAATTAGTGTAAGTTATGATGCGTATGTAAATGTTTATGAATCCAACAGTGCGGGATCCAGGCTATCACAAGTATCTCCCACCCTCCTAATAGGTATAAAGATGATTTTAGATTCTTTACCCAAAATGACCCACTCGCGGGATAGTTTCTACGTTGACGAACGGGGCTCTCAAGGTCATAGATACCAATGATACCACCGTCACGTAACAGGCGAGCTGCATTACGACGGTAATACCAAAGGATCTCTCTCGAGAGGAGTCTTCATGTCAGGCCCACGAGAAGCGAGTCCTCAGGGACCAACACTACACGACTACCAATATAGAAACTGGTTCTAAGAGCGGTTCCTAGAGTCATGGACCTTTCATGAATCAAATCGTGCAACAGGCTAGCTGCGTTACGATATGATCTACGAAAAGGTCTATTCTGGAGGAGCTTTCATGCTAGGCACACAAGGAGCGAGTCCTTGGGGACTAACACTAATTACTACCAATTCTAAGCTATATTTTCTCTCTTCTTTTTCCAAAGCTCGGGTGTAGAGCTTTACTTGTGATATTTTCCCGAAATCCAACAAGCAAATGTAATATATTACACATAATAGAAAGAGAAATAAATAAACAACAGGAGAACATAAGCATGAAGAAAAAACATAAGCACACAGAAATCGATTAAGAAAAAGTCAACACTCTCAAATCGAGTCAAGCTAGGCTTGACTCTCTCTTGCATAGGGCAATGCAGTAATTCCCCAGTAGAGTCGCCATCTGTCGTACCTCAAAAAATACGATCCTCGCGATGGACGCGGAAAATACTGTTCGAAACAGAGTCGCCACCGAACTTTATTCATTCCAGGGGTGGAATAGGAAAATATCGATAAAACCTTTAAGGAGATAAGAACATGGTCATCGCAACCAATATTCTAGGTTCGGGAGTCGGTTACGCAGAGGGAAGGTATTAGCACCCTGTACGTCCATTGTACTCAACGAGAACCTCTTGATTCGATTCGAGAGTGATTTTAGCTAGCTTGTTAGTTTTCTTCTAAGATTTCTCCTATAGGGGGGAATGGGTGGTTTTAAGATAGGGTGCTCGCCAAGGATTGGGGCCCTTGTGCCTACGTATCTTCACTTATAAGAAGTGGAAAATCAGAGCATTCGTAGTTCGTGCGACTACGGGTAAAGGAGGGGATTGTGCTCGCCAAGATCGTTGCAATCTTGTGCCTACGTATTCTCATTGATAAATGAGAAATCAGAGCAGCCGTAGTTCGGCTAACTATGGTAAAAGATTTGTGTTTACAATGAGCAAGAGTTTAGGTCGCATTCTAACTGCTAAACATTGGCTTGTCTGCTCGCTAGGGGAGGCTGAAGCACAAGTTTGTTATGCGCGAAAGAAGGGACTAAACAATGTTCTTTGAGAAAAGGTGTATTTGAGTTGGAAATCGCACGAGGGCGAGGAATTTAGTGTTTATCATATTAGATGTTTTGGTTTGGGGATATATTTGAATAGGTTTAAGGTTTCGATTGCACGGGGGCAAGAAAGAGGTTGGAATGGTTAGGTAATTTGATGGAGAATGATGGCTATTCGATAAACGAGACGTCAGCCTCGCAATCAATTAATCGGGGCATTATTGGAATGCTAGATTCCAACGACACCTTTTTCATTCGAATAATTACGAAATATGTTTGAGGAAGTTTCAATCTCACGAGGGCGAGAGAAGAGAGTTGGATTAAATATTTGAAGAGAGAATGACGACTATTCGATAAGCGAGGCGTCCGCCTCGTAATCAACTAGTCGGGATATCGTTGGAATGCTAGATCTCAACGACATCTTTTTCATTTCGTTAATTATGAAATATGTTTGTTGGACAGTGAATAATTGTACAAATAATTAGAGGAGGTATTTTAAGAAAGAAAGTTTGAATGACACACTATACAAGGCGTACGCCTCAACAGTAATCATTCTCGAATTCAAGGAATGCACGACTCCAAGAATTTGATTCTCTCGTAATTTTAATTTAAGAAAATGATAACGTAGGTGGGTTAAACTAAGGTGAGCATATCGTTCGTATTAGGGTTTGCCTAGTTTGAGAGGTTTAAACAAAGTTGAGGTGCTTTATCGATGAAAGACGAAACGACCACAATTCAAGGTGTGCACCTCGAGAGCGTTCGCTTAAGGATTCAAGGAGTGCTAGACTCTAAAAATCCACCACTTCCATATAATTTCAAAAAAAGGAAATTTTACTATTTTAATTTAAACATAAATAAAATGTTTTGGATTTAATAAAATAAATAGATAAATTTGATAAAATTCTTAAATCTAAATTAAATTGTAAATTAATTATCATAATTTATAAATAAAAATTTAAAATAAATCTGATAATATTACTACTATATGTAATCACTTTTTAAATATAACCTTATTAAGTTCCATTAGATTTAATCAAACTAGTTAACATTAATCCTATAGGCCCAATGGCCTTATACTATCCCAACAACCCTCTTCTCCTTCTAAGAAAAAAACGTAACGGGACTGGATTGTTAATCATTCGATTGACCCCTAGGACCTACCCGGTTGACCAAAGAGGGGCCTTATGAAGGGTCAGCCACTTGCACATAATGAGGGCTGGCAATTCCAAGAGATAAGCAAGGGACATGTGTTTATGCGTATCCATATGTTCCCAAAAAAACATTAATAAAAAAAATCCAAAACAAATCCTCCTTCCCGTTGCTATCATTAATGTTCAGTAAAATAAAAAAAAACAAAGCCTCCCCCTGAAGCTCTCACGTACCCTTTCAACCTCTCATCTTTTTTACCTCTCTCTTTCTCAATGAACAAACACTCTCCTTCTCACCCTGAAATCCTTATCCAAATTTAACAAACAATCACCCCATTAACCTTAGCCGAAAACCACAGATCAACCTTCATTTTTTGTTAGATAAAATAAAACCCACTCGTTACGCTTTCAATCAAATTAGACATCTATTTAAACAGAACAAGCAATACATGGTAGATTGACGTTCAGTTATCCATGGCGGACAAGATACCAACAAGAAATCAAAGAAGAAGAGTCAAGATTTTACCTGAGGGAAAGGGTCCGTCAACTCCGGCAAGGTAAACAGCTTCTGGTCTTTTCATTGTTAAGTCTTATCCCTTCTCTTTTATTTGTTTCTGGTATTTTCGTATGTTGATTGTGTTGTGTATGCGTGTGGTTGAGCTCGCCTTACACAGAGCTATGATGTGAGTTCTAAGAAGGTTTTGATGTATAGCTTTTTAGGTTGATTTTGGTAGGGCTTCGCTGGTATTTTTTCTCCTCCCTTTTTGCCAATGAGCGGAGTGTATTTATAGTAGATTTTTTAGGGTTTTGAATACGTGAAAAAATTTGAAATTGGCTGAAGGAAAATGGTTGTACGATTCTGTTAGAGTGCTATACCATGATTTCTGCTTTTCTGGGACTTGATAGTGACCTTTGTTTTTTGTCTGTAGTGAGGAAGGAAAATATCTAATATTACCCTTTTTTTTACTGTGTGGAAATGCTTCTTTTACTGATTATCCATTTGCTAACATGGGAGTCTTTATTTGACTCGAAAAAAAAATTTCTTGTTGCCATATTCTGTTATAACTGTCATGCTCTTTCTTCTTCATATGTTACTAATGTCGAGTAGTCATTGCAGGTTGTTACATTCACTGGTCCTTAGTGTTTGTCAAGGTAAAAACGGTGAAGAGGATCAAGGAGCTTTACCGGTAGCTCTCAACGTTGATTTGAAGAGTGTCAAAACAGTGGTAGAAAAATTGGTTAGGTGGTTGACAAAGTTACGGATGACTGGTGTTGCCCATAAGGAGAAATGGTACGTAAACTTGCTGTGTAATGCCCTGGTGTAACGCTCAATCTCGTAAGAAACATGATCGCCCCACCGAAGTTGGACATCAATCCAATACTTATTGTTAGCCTTCTGATCAAAACAGCCTTGTCATGAACAAATCCGTCTCGTCAAGTTTGTGTTAATGTCAATGGCTACTCAAACATCTCGTTTTATCCTTGTTCGCTCATTCATTATTTTGTATTGGTATCAATACTTATGGTTAAATCTGATGCTATTCTGGTTTTGTTTCAATATCGCAGGATATGTTTTGCCTCTTATTGACGTCCTGGAATCATATGAATCATTGACAATACTCTCATGCCCGTACCGAACAAGTAGTCTAATAACTTCATCAGATGTGTCTAGTGGATTCTCCTGCAAGTCAGTTTGGAATCACAAAATTTGTGAAATGATCAGGGTCCACTCGTGTTGCAATGGCATATCTCAAAGAACTATTGTGGCATCTGAGCATCCATAGACAATGGCATATCTCAAAGGTGCTAAGACATAGATGGTAGACTCTTGGCAATTTAGAACCTAAGGATTCAATTCAACTGTCACAAATGCTTAAGGTGATGTGCAGAAGTTTTATATCGGCTTGTTGGTATAACTGCATGTAAGGAAGGAGACTCATTGGCTTCAGTGAATCTGTTAGGTCCATAATATCAAGGTTAACTTGGTCCGCAAGAGAGAGAAAATAGTTGAAGGTTTCAACATTCCGAATAACACATGCAATATAAGCCACCCGTGCTTCCTTTGGCTGGCCGTTATAGCCATCATAATTATCTGGTTTGCATCTACCATCAGATCTATCAGTCGCACCTTTATAATAATTTTCACCATTTTCATGTTCACTGTTCGAGTTCATCCGGTTCAAAAGAATCGTGAGTACACGAACAAGATGTGGCAAGCAAAACTGGATCATATATCACATCTGCACCCAACACAACATTCGGCATGATATCTTGTAGTTGACTTTCTGATGCAGATTCCCATGGCAGATACAAGCATTTTATCGTGCTTGTATCTTCGTTTCTTTGTAATGTGTCAGTTTCAACATTCAGGTTGTTCAACTCTAAATTAAGCTTCATGTTAGCTAAAGTTGAAAGGTCACCATCACTTAGTATCACCTCAGAAGCTTTCACGTGGGCTAGGCATAATCCAACTAAACCAACTCCTGATCCAATCTCAAAGCACCATTTATTAGAAAATAATTCAGGATGGGAAAGTATTAACTCGGACAGAAACAGACTTGATGGCCATATTGAGCATCCAGTATCACCTTCAAGTATGTTTATAGAACACTTCAATGAAAAAGTCAGCACTCTTGAGTACGGGCAAGTTTGTAGCTCAGAATAATCGGTAGGAAAAAGAAAAGAAATTCTTTTGCAGATTCTTGAATCTCTTTTGCCTAAACTATCGTCCTTAAATGATGTAATGTAGTGAGCATAGAGTTCATAAAATTGGTCCAAGACAGAGCCATGATCACACTCAACTTGAGTGATAAGCTTCTTAAGAAAATTCTTCAAGTAAGGTGCATGAATATCACCATGTGTGGAAAGGCAAAATTAAACTTCAAGCTAGACGTATCCTGCCGTACAACAGAATTCGCGCCCTTCATATGGATTGATGAGGTCATAGTTGCTAAAGGCGGCGCAACCGTTTACTTTGAATTCTCTTCAATTGCAGCTATTAGGCGTGCTTCATTATGTAGCGGCCAAACATCATGAAAAAGCAGCGAATATGCCGAAGGGGTGTCTTAGTGAGATGATTCTGGTGACGACGACATTACTGAGGAATTAATTAAGATCTCAAACCAGGATATGGATGCTGTCATTGGATTTTCTTCGAGCTAAAACCAGGTGCCATCTTTTTGCAGCTGCCATACTTGTAACAGGTGCGATAATGTAGGTTTTGGAATGATGTAATCACCTTATGAAAAAATTGCTAAGTTAAATTTCGAAAGTGATCTTATTTGTGCACCTCATCACCACTTCATGTATGAATAATACATTATTGTTTAAAATTCGGAACCTCCGCAAAGCATGTGAGAATGAGTTTGCTTGGGTATATTTTAAGTCTGTATTTCTTCATGTATTGTATCCATGCAGTTGGGCTAAATCTCTATGAAAAGGTCTTTGTGCTTTCATTATTTTTGACTGGAAAGGAATCGTATATGTCTTGACATGTTACTTATTTTTGTAGGGCGCAATGACGGTAACAACCGTTTTTGGAAGGAAGCACGGTGTGGGCATAAAGTCTTGGCTCACGTTTAGTTGCCTGGAACGATTTATTAAAGTCTTGGGCTCACAAGTATCAAAATGTCTTCATAATGTACTTTGAGTGGATTATTATACACTTTTATCATTTTAGGTCTCTTTGTACCATAAGGCTTGCGTGATATGTACTCATTCTGAGTTTTCCCTTTGTATGCAACCATGATCTTATAATTCTACCTGTTTAGTGAAAGTATGATTAATGATTATGATTTTTTTACTTCCAGATCCCATTTAGATAAACATGGCTTTGTAGTACTGATGATGTATGGGCTTAATTAAAATGATATGCAATATCCTAAATACCATTTGATAGCAAACTTCTGCGGTTTGGCTTAAACGTAATAATACACATCCACTTGGTCATGCTGTGGTCTAGAAAATAACACATTTACGCATGGCTTGAGCCGTTCCTTGCAATTACGGCTCATCTTGACAACCTTTAATAACTTGCAAATGACTTGGCATGTTTTAGCACAAACTCAGTAGAAATTTGCTCATAACTTGAAACCACATGCAACTCACTGAAAATTTCCAATGGCTAGCCCCGGTTAAATAACCTGACTAATTTGGATTTTATGAGTCATCTTGAAACACAGTCCATCATCCAACCAAATACCTACTGTAAATGCCTTTCCTTGACTTAGCTATGAAATCATGCATCCATTTTTTGCGTATGGGCATCATGGCTCAAAAGATAGAAATTATGATCTCACGATTTACAACAACGTCTCCACTTGAAATATTACCTCGAAACACCAACAACTTCTTGTTTGAACGTCCAAAATATCCATATTTATGAGATTGGCCCTGATGCTAATTGATTTGTAAAATATGGGCGATCCATTCCTCAAACGCATTATACCGTAAGCCTTTGAATTGAAGCAAAATATCTTCTAGATTGTTTGCATCCAGATTCCAATTTAATTATAACTTGAAATTTGCAAGTCAAACCTAAGTTTGTCACAAACCGATGACTTGAAATTTGCTAGCTAAATCTAAGTTTGTCACAAACTGATTTTCTAATTCAATTATGTTTTGGAATTGGCAAGCTAAATCTAAGTTTGTCACAAACTGAATTAGAATCCAAATATAGCTCGACGTTTGCAATCAAATCGAACAACGCCTGAGGCTAAATCGACCGTGTCTAGAAGTGTCATGTGAGGTACCTTTGGACAACTTGAATTAAATGCATACAAGCAACTCATTTAAAGAGAAGTTTTGGAGAGTCGTGGCCAGAAGTCGTGAAGCAGTAAAACATTCATTAAATACTGAAGCAGGACAAATTTGGGGTATGACACCAAGAAGAACACGAGAGGAAGAAGAAAGAGCAACAAACTTGGAGTAGAGGAATTTGAGACTTACCCTTTGTGCCTCTGGTATATTCGATCCGTTTGTGTCGGTAAGACGAATGCTTCACATTAAAGGTCAGTGGTAATAACCTCACTCATCTCCTTGCTCACTTCTGTATCATCGTGTAGCTTCTAATGTAAGGTGTTGATTTCCTTTTGACGCCATGAATCAATTTTTTCTAGGGTTGGTTTTCATTGATTTTGCTGTTTCAGTTTAGTTTTTTTGAGAAAGAGAAACGAATGAATGTGTGGATAAAAACACGATGAGATCGGAAGAGAGAAATTGGAAGGGCATGAGCTATTAGAAGACGAGGTCAATCGCGTGAAGGAGATAGGAACTAAAACTCGTGAGATAAAGGATGTAGTTGAGAGAGTGTGATCGTGATTGAAAGTGAAAGTGAAAGTGTATTTGGATCGTGTTTTTGAACATGGTTATGGTTTTTTTGAAAATCGTTTTCCTTTTCTTGTAATTTGTGTGTGTTTCATGTTTAAGAGAAGGATGAGAAACGACTGAAAATTGATAAGGTTTCTAACCCATCTCCCTACCATGTTAAGTCTCGACACGACCTATTTGGAGCACCATTTAGGCCTCTTTGCTCATGATTGATTGGTTATGGCCCATATGTTCATTTCATTTTTTGTATTGTTTTAATTTGAATTGTTTTGTTTTTTTCATTTTCATTATAATTTTGACTTTAGATTTAGTTTTTTAGATTTAATGTTTTTTTTTATATTAGTTTAGATTTATTTTATTAATTAGTTGATTTGTATGTTTGAGTATTTTCTTTTAATTTAATTTCGTCTGAATTTTAATATTTCGATTAGGATTAACAACTTTTGGTTTAGATTATTTAGTTTGTTTGTTTTCAATTATTATTTAAAAAAACCTTAAAATAATTTTGGTTTAGATTTATTTTATTGCGTTTTTTATTTGTGTCCAAAATGTAAATATTAGGCTTTTCAATTTTTTTGAGCATCTCGACTTTAATTTTCATTAATCTTCCTGACTTTTAACTTTTGTGACCCATAACTTAGTTTCCTTTTGCTTAATCTCGCGATTTTTTATTCTTGTTTTGATTATTCTCTTGTTCACATCTTGTGCTTATCATTTGTCCTTTATGTGATTATTTTCTTCAGTGTTTTAGGTTGCTTTCTCTTGTTAATCTTGACTTTTGAATTTTACCCTGATTATTTGTTTGCTTGTGTATTCACATGTTCCTTTAGGATCTCGTAGTTCGACTTAATTTTTGATTAAGCTCGAAGTAGGATAGATTTTAAGTTCTCGATCATTGCATGACAACATTTAGGATTCAGCCCCCATAGGTTTTTCTTTCTTTTTGCACTCAGATATTTTATTAATCTAAATCCAAAGGAAAGGATCATTTCAGTTGACTTGTAAGTCGTAGTTAGGATAGTTTTGCCTACCCAACCATACCTCGTGACCTTGTTAGAGTCATCCCATTGGCTTTGTCAGAGCCATCTTCCCTCTTTAACCTAGCCTTAGGTTAGAGTTTGTTAACCCTATGTGAGTACCATTGTTATGAGTACTCACCTTCCCTTCTTGGCCTTGTTAGAGACAATTGATCTTGCAACTTAGAATTAGGTGTAGATTTTGTAAACTCTATATGGGTACCATTGTTATGAACACTCACTTTTCCCTTTGACTTTGTCAGAGTCAATCCCTAGTAGTCTTTCAACTTAGATTTAGAGATTTTTTTTAACTCTATGTAAGTATCATGGTTATGAATAATTACTCCCATTGGAACCTTGACCACAGTCAAGTGTTCCTCACCCTTAGTGAGGTGTACTAAGAATACTCTGATTCCATCCTAGTTAGGATACGTAGGCACGAGATGCGATGTCTTGGCGAGCATACTTTGAAATAAACCCCAATTCTTTTACCTTAGCACCTTTTCCTTAGCAAGCAAACAAATAACATAACACAAATACAAATAAGAGGTTACTATAGAGTAATACAGATACTTAGGATGCTAACACCTTCCCAAGGTATAACCAACTCCTGAATCTTAGATTCTCTTAGATTGTTGTTACATAGCGCACTTAAGGTTTTCTTCTATCTTTACCCTTTTCTTTAGATAAATCAAAGCTCAGTGGTAAACTTCATGATTTGTGATTCAAGTTAACTAATATCTTGATATATCAATTCTCACCGCAACAACCATCATCCATATCAATGTCCATTCTTTCCGTTTTCATGAAAGGTCTTCCAAGAATTAAAG